GATGAGTGATCTATACAGGAGTTGCTAGTGACTTCCCGATCCTGTGGTCTGGTGACAAATAGTAAAAACGCGCACTCGCCAGATGCGTATTTTCAATACGCATGTGATACATAAACCAGAGGTCCCCCTCATGGGATGGGGTGGACGAACTGGGCCGTCTTAGCGGACTCTCCTTACTCTGGGTGTAGAGCAGCCAAACCGTTGTCTCCCTCTAGGAAATGAACAGGGTACTGGGCAGCCTACATCAGGGTGTGCGTCATCCTTAGGGTGGTATCATGTGTCACAGACTCCTGATGCTTGGGCTCTGGAACGAATGTAAGGCTCACCAAGGAGCCAGCAAAAAATAGCCCATAGTGTAGTAGTTAAAAAAAATTGGCGTTTATCAATCCACGTGGTAAAATAACTCAAATGTAAATAAAAGCAAGTAAAACCAATTACTGACCAAAGTGCAAAATAGACGTCACGTCGTGCAGGTCCCTTTACCGCGTTTCGTGTGATAGCACTTCATCAGAAAAGGCACTATGGGCTATTTTTTTGCTGGCTAATAAAAAAGAGGGGTAGAGAGAACCTTTTGGGGAAATTCCCTGGAACTAGTGATGGGCTTGATGTTTAGGTCGAGACACCTCAGAGTGCACTGTGCTCTGACAGTGCATTGTGATTGGCCAAAGCAATGCACCTGACCACCCTCGCAGACCCCCACAACCCCTGAAGAGGCCCTTGTCCCCATCAACATAGGGACAAGGTGCTTTTGGGGGGAGCCCCCTACCTCAAAGCACCCCCCCCATGTTGAGGGCATGTGGCCTGGTACGGTTCAGGAGGGCACTCATTCGTCCCCCCTTTTCTGGCCTGCCAGGCCTGTACTGTACTTGGACAAGGGTCTGGTAGGAATTTAGGGGGGATCCCACGTGTCCCCTCCTTTTTTGGGGGGTGGGGTTTCCCTAAAGTCTTACCAGGCCTAGAGGGCGTGTTGGCCCCACCCACAAATTCTTGCCCAGTCACAAAACACAGCCTGTAATGTAACTGCGACTGTGCTTGTGAATGAGTAAGTATATACTGGGGAAGAGACATGACGCTGCACTGGTTTCAATCTTAGCTGCAGCCCCAGTGTCAACAAGGGTGGTAAAAGTACAGTTGGAGCTGCATAAACAAGCACAACTAAAAGCCAAGTTTTTATGCCAAGGTAAGGAGCTAAATACACATCTAAAAATATTGAAAGTAAGTAAACTGTGGAACGATCCATCGCATAGTAATAGATACATTTACAAAAGGAGCTGGATGATTTTTTTTAAACTAATAATATCCAAGTTATAACTCATTGGTGGAATAAAACGCATTTTATTTTGTATTGTTTGAAATACATAAGAGCAGAATATTTCCTCTTACAAGTCCAAATATGTATATCATGTGCTTCCCCATGGTGCAAAAAAAAAAAAAAAGTAAAATTTATTTGGCATATCGCTGTATCGCAAAAAATGGCCTGGTCAGGAAGGCGGGTAAATCCACTCGAGGGCAAGTGGTTGAAACAAGCTCAAATTGACCTCTGTAGCTGAAAGCATTTTTTAAGTATTCCATATTTAAAATTCTCAACAGGGGCACTAAATTCACTTGGAAATTGACTTGGAAGCCCGCCAGCTTCTAATATAAACAAACAGTTGATGTGAATGTCTGACAAAACCCAGACTGAATAGAAGGCATATGGTTTTGTATGTAGTATTTTTACAAACTTTGCAAGTTAACAACAAAACAATCAGATTTAACTTTTGTGTTTGTATGGCCAGGCATAGAGCTGACACAATTTCATAACATTTCATAACTAAAACAATTAGCTCCAGCAGATCAAGTGGAATAAACTTGGCGGGTCCTCAAAAAGACTTCCAGTTCCTTTCTTGGATTCAGGCCTTGTATTCTTCCCCTTCGGCGTCACTTAAGTATGCAGAGTATTTCTTGGATCCCTTTCCCATTTGGTGAGGGATGAGACAGGGAGGTCCCCTGTCTCCGGCGCTCTTTGTCCTGGCACTTGAGCCGTTGGCTTTGGTGCTCCAGGCTGATTGTAACATATTGGGGGTCTCTCACGCGGGACAGAAATTTAAGTTGAATCTTTTTGCGGACGATGCCCTCTAGACCCTCACTAATCCCTTCATGACGCTCCCAAACTTGCAACAGGTTCTTGCTTGTTTCTCTCTTTTCAGGTCTCCGTATAAATCCAGATAAGACTGTCGCTCTCAATATCACCCTGGCTCCGGATTTGGTTTCGCTCCTACAGCCCCACTTCCCTTACAAATGGGCTTTATCTTCACTTGAATACTTGGGCATTCACCTGACCCCCAGCTATTGCTCTTTGTTAGCTGCCAACTATTTTCCTTTGCTTTGCTCCGTGTCCTCTGTCATACTCTCTTGGCACTTCCCATTCCTATGTGTTCTTAATGACTAACCTGCTGCAATTGTTGTATTTTCACATCCTCCCTCTTATTTCCTCCTGCTGATTCAGGCAAGGATTATGCAAATTATACCGGCGCCCCAGAGTCTCCAGAACTATGCTTTCCATCCATAGGCTGCAGGGATGTCTGGGGGTGCCTAATGTAGCCAAGTACTACCAGGCAAGTCAGATTGCCCCACTGTCTATGTTGCATGCCTCCTCTGATGTTCCTCTCTGGGTTCTTTTGGAACTGCCTACCTGTGCCCCTATCGCAACATCAACGCTTCTATGGCTCCCCCTGCTCTACACCCAATGACACTGAACCCAATTTTGCTTCATGGCCTGCGTGTATGGGACTCGGTTCACTCCTCTGGTGGCTTGATGTCACCCTTTCTACCTCTGCTCCCAATTACTAATAACCCTCTTTTCTCACCAAGCTTAGATCAACCTGGGGTGTTCTCCTGGTGGGTGGCCAATGGTTTTTCGCAGGTGCGACACTTCATGACTTCTCTGTCTTTCCCTACCTGGAATTCTCTTTGAGAATAACGGGATGTTCCCCAAGTGGAATTTTTTTGTTATCTTTAATTGCGGCATTGGCTGACCTCACTGCGTGACTCATCCACCTTTCCATACCAGAAATCTGCCTTTGAACAGATTTGCCAACAGCATCCTGGCATCCCAGGTCTTGTTTCCCTACTCTATGCATCTTTGAATAAGCCCTTGACACGTGCTTCCCTATCGTATGTCGCTCAATGGGAGCGTGATTTGGGGGCAGTCGTGGATCTGGAGGACTGGAATAAGGCCTGGTCGTTTTTTTCTTTTTAGCAGTTGTGTTTATTGAAATCGTACATAAGTATAACTAATCAAGGTACATAAGAACAAGCAAGCTTACGGCAGTCAGTAGATATACAATACACATGAGATTCCAGCACTAATGATTCCACAGAGTCAACCGGTCATTCTGAGTCAGATCGGGAGAAACAGAAATATTACACTGTAAATAGTCATCTCCCACCAAATAACATGTAGTACAAAGATCTAATAGGATGAGCTGGAGCGGAACAGAAAAGAGTGAGAAAGAAAAAAAAAAAAAAAGGGGGGAGGGGGGGGGGCAAATAGGAAAATCAAACCATATAAACAATAACCAATCAGATAAACAATACAACCTGACATACCCACAAGATAAAAACCCAAAACGTTAGACCGAAAAGACCCTGAGCCTCCACCCACCCAGCCCATATTCTATCAAATTTAGCCGGACAGTTACAAAGACTGTTGGTGGGGCAGATTGTTTCCATTTCAAAAAAATTGCTCTTCCAGCATAATAGAGAGCATAGGAGACAAACAATCTACTATGCTTAGACATCTCCACGAGGTCCAGGAGACCCAACAACATACTCAGTGGATTCATGGGAATAGACAACTGACTAACAGCGTTAACAGTATCTCACACCCCGACCCAATAGGGGAGAAGCTTGGAGCACTCCCAAACCATATGGTAAAACATGACCACCTCCATATCACATCGAGGACAGGATATATCACAGTCAATCGTCACAGGGTGTAATATACTCTATGCATACATTTTAGTTGTATGAAGCAGTCCCTGGCTGAGATCATGGTAGAGAGGCACTATAAAAGACAATCCTCCAAGTCATCCTCCGACAGAGAAGGGAGGTCTGTGTGCCATGTATCATAAAGCAACTGTATTCCAGGGGTAGATAGAGGTAGCAACAGGGAATGGAGAGAGGACAACGATTTTGTCAAGTCCTTCATTAACAACAATTGTTCTAAAGGGTTAGTCTGAATGGTAAGTGAAGAAGGAAATTGAGTGGCCACCGCATGACGCAATTATAAAAACATCCGGTTATGCAGGCCATGATTACGTTTGAGTTTGTCAAATAGAAGCAGGACGCCACGAGGCATAATATGGTGCAGCTTTTTAATGCCCTATTGAGCCCACACCAAAGGATCCAGTATCATATGCAGATAGGGGAGGGCAGGGTTGCCCCAGAGCGGCGTGTGAGGGGATTATGAGTTTTACCCGAAACGATGCAGATTTTCCCATAGATACTCCCAATCTACCAAATCGAAGGCCTTCTTGGCATCCAGGGACAGCACCACACTAGTGTCATCCCTGTCACAAGCCACAGAAATATGAGTGAACAATCTCCGTATGTTAATATCAGTACCCTTCCCCGGCATAAAACCTGTCTGGTCATGGTACACTACCTCCGAAAGAACAGAACCCAGTCTCCTAGCAAGCACCTTAGCGAGTACTTTTGCATCAGTGATTAACAGGGAGATTGGACCGATAGGAGGAGCAGTGAGTCGGGTCTTTCCCAGGCTTCAAAATAACTATCACCACTTGAAGCATGTCAGAGGGCAGAGTTCCTGTCTCAAGTAGTGCGTTAAAAAGTGTTTAACTGCCTCCCGCCCGCCATATAGTAATATGACGGACACAAGGTGGTTCTCTCATTCTGGGAGGACGTCAAATGACGTCCTTCCATTCTAACTGAGCATGCGCGGCTCCCGAAGCACGGCGATCGGCAGTGCACTGTGTCCCTCGGACACAGCGAATCACCAATCCACAGAAAGAGCCAAAGATGTCGGCTCGGTCATGTGATCAGCTGTATCCAATCACAGCTGATCACATGTAAACAGGGAAATGCCGGTTATCGGCATTTCTCTCCCCACGAGCTGTCACGCTGACGGAGAGCCGGTAATCGGCATTCCTCAGAGGGGACATGTATACAGATCAGAGCACTGATGATCAGTGTGCCCTCATGATCTGTGTAGCCCCAACAGCGCCACCTGCCAGTGTCCATCAGTGCCAGCTCTCAGTGCTCATCCATGCCACCTGCCAGTGCCCATCAGTGCCACATATCAGTGCCCATCTGAGCTGCCTTTCAGTGTCACCCATCAGTGCCGGTCAGTGCCACCTATCAGTGCTGCCAATCAGTGCCACTTATCAGTGTCGCCTATCAGTGCTCGTCACTGCTGCCTATCAGTGCCACCTAACAGTGCCAGTCAGTGCTGCCTAACAGTGCCAGTCAGTGCCATATATGAGTGCTGCCTTTCAGTGCCCATCAGTGATGCCTGTCAATGCCCATCAGTACCACCTACCAGTGCCTCCTCATCAGTGCCACTGATCCGTGTCCATCAGTGCAGCCTATCAGTGCCCATCACTGCAGCCTCATTAGCGCACATCAGTGAAGGAGAAAAATCACTTATTTACAAAATTTTATAACAAAAACTAAGAAAAAACTTTTTTTTTCTTCAAAATTTTCAGTGGTTTTTAGTTTGTTTAAGAAAAAATAAAAAACCCAGAGCTGATTAAATACCACCAAAATAAAGCTCTGTCACAAAAAAATTATAAAAATTTCATATGGGTACAGTGTTGCATGACCACTCAATTGTCATTCAAATTGAAACAGCGCTGAAAGCTGGGAATTGGCCTGAGCAGGAAGGGGGTACAAGTGCCCTGTAGGCTAGTGGTTATAAAATGGGGGACTGTTTGCTCAATATATGTTTTATAAAATTCAATTGGAAAGTCATCCAGGCCCGGTGCTTTGCCAGATTGGAGAGCGCCAATCGCCAGCTGGATCTCCTTCAAGGAAATCGGTGCCTATAGCTACTCCCTCTGAACCACAGAGAGACAGCAGGTGAACACGATCCAAATAACGGGACAAATCCTGCAGCGTGAAAGCATCTTTGGAGGAATATAAACTCGCATAATAGTCAGCAAAACGTCGGTTAATTGAGATTGGATTAAGGATCCTAGAACCGTCTCCAGCCTGTATAAGAGCAATAATAGATAAGGCAGATTGTTCCCTAGCCAACTAAGCCAGCCGGCTTTATCTCCCTGTTCAAAAATATGCAGTTTTTGATGCAGCATAGCCTTCCTGGAAATCGCTGCGTAACAATAAAGCTTCTCTTATAGCCAATTGTAAGTCGTCATGATGAATAGGATCTGGATGGAGCACATAATTGGATTCAGCTTCCTGCACCCTCCAGTCCACCAAGTCCACTTCTTCCTGCCGTCTTACCTGCAGCCCCCTATCAAGGTCCGATACTGGCCCCTAAGAGTAGCCTTACAAGCCTCCCAGGTAGGCACAGCAGTATTCTCATTAGAGTCCCAATAATGCTCCAAGACCTTCCCCATAGGGGGTTTCACCTCAGGATCAGTAATCCAATACCAAGATAACCTCTAGACTTTTTCCTCGGGGCATCAGTAATAGTTAATTGAAGGAGTGGAGCATGATCAGAAATCCCTCGTGGAAGGATGGAAAAGTGCCTTTCACTCCAGTGTTTGGCTTGTTGCCAGATACTGCTAGCCATGATCCTGTTTGTTAGGTTGACCAGTTAGATATTCTGTCAATAGGTTTTTGATTCACTTATATTTTTGTATTTTTTCTACCCCAAAGGAACCACTGTGATTTAATCGGTTTTGACCCAATATTAGTGTAGATGTAGCCAGGCACACAGCAACAGTTTGCTCAATATTCAATCCAGGGCATGTCCTTTTACATTTTTTATTGCTGATGAACTTGATGGGGTGTCGGGTGACATGGGATACTCGTGACTTCCTGAAGATCAGAAGGACACTTCACGTTGATAACTGTCCCTAAACAGTCTCTATGCAGAAGCAGGTACAGATGGCAGAACTAAGTCCCCTTTTTAGAAACTTCCCAGTCAGGAGTACTACTGGCTTTTCCACCCAAAGGATACAGCACAGAGTTTCTGGGATCTTAGGCTCAGGTCACTACTTACAGTGTCACAGGTTTTATTTATTTCAGGTACTTATATCGCTCCGTCAATTTACGCAGTGCTTTACATATATATTGTGCATTCACATCAGTCCCTAACCCTCAAGGGGCATACAATCTAAGGTCCCTAACTTACATTCATACATACACATACTAGGGCCAAATTAGACAGGACAGGACCATTTCACCTACGAGCATGTCTTTGGAGTGTGGGAGGAAACTGGAGTACCCGGAAGAAACCCATGCAGGCACAGGGAGAACATGCAAACTCCATGCAGGTGGTGCCATGGCTGGGATTCAAACCAATGACCCTAGTACTGCCAGGCGGCAGTGCTAACCATATGGCCACAGGATGCCTCCTTCCAGTATCCACCAGACACTCTTCAGTAATGGAGAGATGAATTCCCACGATGCCATAGGATAGCCAATCCCCTTCTAACTTCCGCCGGGCACTCTTTAGTGAGCTCTCCAGACCAAGGTCCTAAGGTGAGGGTTAACTTAATTAGCTTCAAAAATGGATTTGTAGGAGTAGGTCCCCCAGCTATGCCACAGCTGGGACCTCGATGAGTTATCAGCAGAAATCAGGAGAACTGCTGCAGATAGGGGTAGCCACCCCCACCCAGATGGGTGGAATCTCTCCAACAGGGAAATTATTTCTGCTATTCTGCTGTTCAAAACTTCAAACTATTTATGTGCCTCTCCAGCTACCTACCCAGTGATTGGCTGGAATGCACTACATATTCAGGCTGCTCATTTGCCTTGCTCAGCCTCCTATGTTCCAGAAGCCTCTAGAAAGCAAGGGAGAACAATCACACCTGCAGCCTGTGAGATCCATTACATCCAGGGGCGGACTGACCATTTGGAAACTCGGGCACTGCCCGAGGGCCCGGGGTCAGTAGGGGGCCCCATGAGATGCCCCTGGTACCTTTTTCATAGGCTTTTTTGAGTTTGGGCAAGGACATAGGGGCCCCATGATCCCCTATTGCCCGGGGGCCCCATGAGTTGTCAATCCGCCCCTGATTACATCTAAAAGCAATCAACAACTGCTCTCCTGATTACAGATGAGCTAAAAAGAACTAAATTTGCCTAACATCCTAGCAACCTAACTAGGAGGGTGCTAAACAAATGTAAGTTGCCCGGCTGTCATAATTGCTTCAGAACCACAGCAATATCATCAACAAATATGAAGACGTTTGTGAAATAAGCTGCAGGCTGATGTCCCCAGGCCACAGCCTACGTTACCTTTTTGTAGGTCTGGGTTTAAAACTGGCCACAGATGGATTGATATCTAGTCTGGGCTGAAAAAAGATAATACTGTATATAATGTAGTGTGTTGGTATAATGTCACATCCATGCATGTGCAAATTTTTCAGAGACAAGGAAGTCAGATTTTAGAGGCACCGGCATACAACAAAATATCAATAATTGCAATTTTATTATAAAACATATAAAAATATTTTGCCATAAAACATGTAAAAACGTTTTGTGAGGAAGGATTACATATAATTTACTAACACCCTCATTATTGTATTCGCTCCATATACCACCACCTTGCTAAATGTAATAAAGTAGTTTTAATCAATCATGTATACGGCACATTATATATTCTTACATGAAGAGTGAAGTGTGAGGATCATCACAAATTATCGTATTACTATTATTATATCATTTTGGACTTTTTGAATGATTATTTGTTCACTAATTTTGTGCACCAGTATACATATTGTTTCACAATGTGCAAATAGGAGTGTGTTTGTCACTTTTTTCACTAAATATTCCCCGTGAGGGAATTCACGTATGACACAACTATTTTATTATTTATGTATTGATTTATCACCTTGGATATACAGTCATGGCCGAAATTGTTGGCACCCTTGATATTTTTCCTGAAAATCAAGTATTTCACACAAAAAAGGTATTGCATTAACACATGTTTTGCTATACACATGTTTATTCCCTTTGTATGTATTGGAACAAATATAAAACAGAGGCAGAAAAGCAAATATGACATAATGTCACACAAAACCCCAAAAATGGGCTGGACAAAAGTATTGGCACCCTTAACTTAATATTTGGTTGCACACCCTTTGGAAAACATAACTGAAATCAGTCGCTTCCTATAACCATCAATAAGCTTCTGACACCTCTCACCCGGAATTTTGGACCACTCTTCCTTTGCAAACAGCTCCAGGTCTCTCTTATTGGAAGGACACCTTTTCCCAACAGCAATTTTAAGATCTCTCCACAGGTGTTCAATGGGATTTAGATCTGGGCTCATTGCTGGCCACTTCAGAACTCTCCAGCGCTTCTTTGCCATCCATTTCTGAGTGCTTTTTGACGTATGTTTGGGGTCATTGTCCTGCTGGAAGACCCAGGATCTTGGACGCAAACCCAGCTTTCTGACACTGGGCCCTACAGTGCGACCCAAAATCCTTTGGTAATCCTCAGATTTCATGATGCCTTGCACACAGTCAAGGCACCCAGTGCCAGAGGCAGCAAAACAACCCCAAAACATCATTGAACCTCCACCATATTTTACCGTAGGTACTGTGTTTTGTTCTTTGTAGGCCTCATTCCGTTTTCGGTAAACAGTAGAATGGATGTGCTTTACCGAAAAGCTCTATCTTGGTCTCATCTGTCCACAAGACGTTTTCCCAGAAGGCTTTTGGCTTACTCAAGTACATTTTGGCAAACTGTAGTCTTGCTTTTTTTTATGTCTCTGTGTCAGCAGTGGGGTCCTCCTGGGTCTCCTGCCATAGCGTTTCATTTCATTTAAAATGTCGACGGATAGTTCGCGCTGACACTGATGCTCCCTGAGCCTGCAGGACAGCTTGAATGTCTTTGGAACATGTTTGGGGCTGCTTATCCACCATCCGGACTATTCTGCGTTGCAATCTTTCATCAATTTTCCTCATCCTGTCCACGACCAGGGAGATTAGCTACAGTGCCATGGGTGCAAACTTCTTGATAATGTTGCGCACTGTGGACAAAGGCAAATCTAGTTTCTGGAGATGGACTTGTAACCTTGAGTTATTGTTGTATCTTTTGCCACAATTTTGGTATCTCAGGTCCTCAGACAGTTCTCGTCTCCTCTTTCTGTGTTGTCCAATGCTTCCAGTGTGCAAAGACAGACACAAAAGTCAGATTTTAGAGACCGGCATACAACAAAATATCAATTATTGCAATTTTAGGTTATAAAACATATAAAAATATTTTGCCATAAAACATTGTAAAAAGTTTTGTGAGGAAGGATTACATATAATTTACTAACACCCTCATTATTGTATTT